TGCCCCAAGAGTGGCCGTTGCCAAGCAGGGGCACCAGGAGAAGCACCAGCCAATGCCCCCCCTGAGATTGGTGCCAGGGAGTTGATCAGTTACTGGGGGATCACCTACCAGGGTTGTGGGTATCAGCTGCTGGTACCTCACCTCCCCCCACCATACTCAGGAGGCACCAGTCACTCATGGACAGGTTCACCATGTAACAGTAGTAAAAAGTTCTATTTTCTGTAGGGGTGCACCAAAAAAAGATTTTTTAGGTTTATACTGATGGCTGATTATTAGCCAGCCATATTGGCCAATACTGATCTGTTTGCCAATATGCAGCCCGGCAGCTTGAAGAGCAGTGTCCAGCCAGTAAGTCTGTGGGGGGAGGAAGGGGGGTGAAGCAGGGAAGGGGTATGGGAAGCAGGGATGCAGATCAAGGCCCCCTGTGGTGAGAGAGGGAATGGGGCAGGGGTGGGGGCAGGTCATAGCACAGGACTGAGCTGTGGGCAGCTCATCCCAGGGGTGCACAGGGGGAGGGGTGGAGGCAGCTCTCCACGCTGTGTGCACCCCAGGGAAGGTATGGAGAACATGTGCCCCCCAGATTTTTGTGTGGGGTGAAGGCAGATTGCCTGCTGGGGCCTGTCCCTGGGGGGGAGCGGAGGGTGGACTCGGCCAGGGCTGTGTTCAGGCTGGGCAAGGGCAGGGCAGGGGGCTACAACCACCCTAAAATTCACCATAGTCCCACTCCCAGTACCACCACCCACCCACCCTGAGCACAGCCCCAGCCCAGCCCCCTTCTAGGGGGAGGCTGGCACAGCCCCCGAGCCCACAGCAGGTAGCCCGCACTTGCTCTGCACACAGATCGGGGGGCATATGCCCCCCATCCTTCCCCTGGGGGTGTGTACAGCAGTGGGAGCTGCCCCCAATCCCTGCAGCTCCATCCCATGCCCCACCCTGCCACTGCCCCACTCCCTCCCTCACAGTGGGTGCGTTGACTTGCCCCCATGCCCCTTCTTCCCCCCACAGACTTACTGGCCAGATGCTGCTCTCCAAGCTGCCAGGCTGCACTCCTGGCTGCATGTATGCTGCAGCTGCATGTGGCACTTATTTATGACATTAATCGGCCACATCAGCCAAAAAAAGCTGATTGCCAATAATATTAATTTTCCTTTCTTCTGTGCTGATACGATATGGCCCATTGTATCGGTGCACCTCTAGTTTTCTGAAAATACCTCCCGAATTGCATCTTTATGCTTCAAGTTTACAGGAAAGGAATAAAGAAGGAGGTATTTCATTAGCAAATTCTGTTTAATATTATTGAAGTCACTTATGGAATTCTAAGGAATATTTCTGAAATCTAAACTAGGTATACAGGGTGGTTAGTTTCTGACTTGATCACTCCATTTTTTATTTTTCTATCAATTTTGATGATTTTAAGTGTATTTTAAACTTTTTACAATTACATTTATTTACTTTTTACAGCTTTTAATATCAGCACCAGTAACTCTGTGCAAGCATTTGTCACTGCACAATGTAGTTAGGTGTAACCTCTTTACCTTTTGTACATAGTAAGTGCATTTTATCTATGGGCTAATCAGATCACTACTCTTTCTAAAATTTGTCTTTCTACAATTTTACATTATCAAATTCTGACCATCAGAAACTCTGTATGCCATGTTCTATAACTGAAAAAGTATTTTTTTATATTAATCCTACGTGCATTTTTTTTATATGTAATGACCCTCTTTTACAGAAGCCAAAATGTGAGAATGGGTATTCCACTTCAAGTATAAGAGTAAAAGAAATCTGTGGCAGGCCAGTAGGGGGCGCTCCTGCTTTGAGCCACCCACCTCACTGTGCCCAACCACCTTCCAGGCTCTGAGTGCCTCCCTGGGGGTGCCTCGTGTCCA